ATAAACAAGAGGGCTATGATGCCATGAAATCGCTCACCTGTCCACAACTGTATTCAGACACTCTCTATGACAAGGAACAAGTAATATTGTAAACTATAAACATCTCTAGGACAGGGAATATGTCTAGGACAGGGAACAAGTAATATTGTAAACTATAAACATCTTTATTACAAGGAACAAGTAATATTGTAAACTATAAACAAAAGCAGAAACAAAAATCGAAATCTTAAACTGATATCACAAAGTTCATTTTTGTATCTGAAATAGTGCATGTGTAAAAAACATAAGTTTTTAATATATACATATAAAGAAAATCAATGACCACCCCGCCCCCCTTGGCGGGGTCAATTTTGACCGCAAGGCTTTTATTAAAAGAAACTTAATAGACACTCACTAAAAATGTTTCATGCTAAATATCTAAGCTCAAGATCTGCTGATTTTATTAAAGAAGATTGTTTAACCCCAAGGCTTTTATTTGAACAAACTTGGTAGACACCCATTAGAAGATGTTTCAAGCTAAATATCTAAGCTCTAGCTTTTTGCGTTTTTAAAGAAGATTTATCAAGTTTTTTCTACGTACATACAGGAAAAATAATGACCCAATTTTAACACTAGGGCTATTATTTGAACAAACTTGGTAGTCACTCATTAGGAGATGTGTCATGCTAAATATGTAAGTTCTAGCTCTTTGGATTTTTTTAAAGTAGATTTTTTAAAGTTTTTGCTATAAACATATATGGAAAAACATTGACCCCCCCCCCCGGGACAGGGGCAATTTTGACACCATGGCTTTTATTTTGAGAAAAATTGGTAGAGACTTACTAGAAGATCTTTCATGTCAATTATCTAAACTCTAGCTCTTTAGAGTTTTTTTTTTTTTAAATTGTAAGTTTTGTTCTTTTGATTGCCATGGCAACCAAATTTCTGTATCGATTTAAATTATTTAAACAAATTTCAAAGGTAACCACCAAACAAACATTCCTGTGAAGTTTGGATGAAATTAGCTCAGGGGTTTATGAGGAGATGTTGTTTAAAGTAAAAGTTTTACAGACAAAGGATGGACGCCGGACGAAAAGCTATCACAAAAGCACACCATGTCACTTTGTGACAGGTGAGCTAAAATCTAACATACCGTTAATATGTAGTTATATCATTACTCTCTGAAATCTTTATTTTAGCATTGTCCGAACCAAGGGGCACTTATTTGGCTGAACTACATTCATCTCGAATGAAGTGTATTCACAACCAGTATGCATTGGTTACCCTGGATGGATTTTTAGACACAGGATTACAGCATAACTTTTCAATAATTGCATGTAACATATGTATTGCAATACATGTAAAATAAGATATCATAATTATGTTAACATCAGCAGAAATATAACTTATGTACAATAATGTATGCCTTTTTTATTACATGCTTTTTGGTGGGTTATACAAATATATTAGTGATATAAAACTGATAATTTTACGGTTTAAAACACTGTATTTAATTTAAGCCCCTTTATGTTGTTTCAGTGAAATACCAGCGTGCACAGTACTGGAAACCAACGTAATGATGTGACGTCGTAAATAACGTTATGTTGCATTATTATTTGACGCGTTTTTCATTTGCATGAAGTATTAGGTTAAATGTCTTTTTAAAACGTTTCTTTACATACAATAAAAAGGAAATTTGTTGAGTTTAGTGAAATATCAAAATATATATCACCTTGTGAATACCAAAAGTTCATATTTCACTCGTGGCTGAGCCACACGTGAAATATACCTTTTGGTGCTCACTCAGTGAAATATATTCCGATCTTACACTGAACTTTACAAATATCCTCTATATAATGTTATAATGTCTTGGTACTAAAATGTGACACATTGTTTAAGTAAAAATTTCTAATTCAACTTTTACATAAATTATCTATGAACATAAACATCTGATAGTATATAAACTTATAAAATATGGCTGTCTGTGTGAAATAGCATATTGGCATCCGAGAACTGGTATGTTTCCCTCAGTTATAGACTTGTATATATCCCTGAGGGGCAACTGAGAACTGACTTATTACTTGTTACTACATAGACAATACAACATAATTTTTAATCAAAACAAGTTATACACCATAGATGTAGATATGATTTCATTGTACCTTAATACATATCAATCCTCAATAGAAATGTACAATTGAAATAAAAATATACATGGCTGTCAGCTGCAAGTGCTTATTGACTCTTCAACTGCCTTTATCGTCTATATATATATACTATATACATGTATATATACCATTACATTGTCTTATATATCCTATAACTGGTATTTATATATACCATTCCATTGTCCTATATCATATAACATTTATATGCATGTATATATCATTCTCTGTATGTTTTTTTAATTTATTTTAATGTATCCATTTATAAATTACAGTTTGTTCAATGATAATAAAAACAACTTCAACCCATATCTCATTTCAAAATAGATTATTATAACCTGTCAGAAAAGTAAATCACCAATCACCATTTTCATTAAATTCACTTATTCATTTATTTATTTACTGATCTATTTATGTATTTATACTTTCTTCAAATCACTGTTATGTCTGTCTTTTTATTACAAACTATCCTCGCCTGATCTTTAAAAATAACCTTTACATTTAGTTAGATTAATATATCTATTATATTTCACTGCATTTCTTTCTTTCCTTAATTTTTCTATAAACACAATTTGAATATAATTGTCTTCAATTCCAATATAATAATAATAAATACTATTGTTAAAATGACCAGAAATCAATATTTTATGAATTGTTTTTCATCATAATGTATTATACTCATTATTTTACTTAACAACAATAAGTTCATTACTTGTCTTAAGCAATTTTTGATACAAATAAATAAAAACAAATTTATTGTGTCTGAGAATGAAAAACAAAACATTTCTTCAAACACTATGTACCTACACGGATACTTGTTTCCATTTTTTGTTGATAATTTGAATGCATGTATCTTCTATTTTAAAATTTCAAATCTTTTTTTTTTAATATAAAAAAAACAACACCCCCCCCCCCCCCAACACATTTATCATCTCTTTTAACGCGGCAATAATTTAGTTTAAACACTATGTTACCTACAAGTATCCTATTTCACTTTTTTGTTGAAAATTTAAACACATATTTATGATCATATTTAACATGAAATAACTGATCCCTATCTTTTGCATACTGTTTAGCATCATTTCCCCTCCCTCCTATAAATCCTTGTGATGTCAAATGTGACATGTCATCATTACATTCCTTACCATCTACTGCTATATAACAGTACTCAACACTCACAACTACGGTATGAGGAATACCAGGAAGACTATCAACAAACTTCTGCCATGATGTCAAACTCATTATGACTTCATCAAGCCTAATGTTCTTTAAACTCTTCATCTCTAAAGGTAACTGTATTATATTGTCAGTTAACCTACACCACCATAACTCAAGCTCACTGAGATTATGTAATAATGGTAATACTGTGACTAATCTCTTTGTTATGTTGGTATGATATAATTGAGATTTATTGTAATAATCTAAATACAATTCAAGTTCTTTTAATTTGTAAGATATTTTAATAATATCAAATATTTTCTCATAATTACTATTGCTCAATGTAGAACATGTAAATATTTCAAGGTTTGTAGTATCAGCAGCTTTTACGCTAACAGCGTACCTCAAATAAAGGTTTTGAAGTTTTTGATGTTTTGATAAATTTACATTATGCTGCTTCTCACACTGACATTTAACTTCATGAAGACGTATTTGTTCAAGATGAATGGTTCTGTTAAGAAAATTACAAAATGTAGTAGTATCATCATGACTCATTGTCATACACCTCATACATATTGCTACAAGATTGATCATACTAGGTAGGTTACTTACAACTGCTTTATACACTGGGTAATACTTGTCATAGTTGGAGACGCCACCGAGAGAATAGTCACTATCAAAAGACAGAGACAAAGATTTTAATGTAAAAGTATTTACTTTAAATGTCTCAGAAACACAATTGTAAATCTCATTAATCTCCTGTTTACTGGTATGACCCCATATTCTATGACTTATTTCAATTTTTTCAAGATGATGAAACATTGATAAATATTTTGTAAATGTAGCATTTCGTGTGTTGATGTGATGTACCTTAATAGACAGAACAGAGTCAGGAACAATTTGATGCTGATCAATACCCAAACAAACAATATCACAATACCGATTAAATATATCAAAGACCAAATCTCCTATATAAAATACAGGATTAATTCCTACACTACCTGTTGCATTGAATTCTTTCATTGAGTCAAACATAAGCTTTTGAATATCAGTTATACAATCATGATCCCTATAAATGTAACTACTTGTTCTCCTGTATTCCTGAACACAATAGTCTTTTGACACAGTACCATATATGTATTTTGAAACATGTGATGCTAATCTAGGTTCTAGACCACATAGCATAATGATAACATTTGACTGCCCAAATATATCATTTACTGTTGAACATTTCTGAAAAATCTTACAAATAAACTTTTCGGCAAATTCAACATTTCCTGTACTATCTGACAAACCAAAGTTTGAATTGAAATTGATAACAATATTTACTGCAGCCAGAAATTCTTGAATTGATTTGTGAATAAAAGAGAGAAATGAGCTTGGTCGTTCTGATACAGATAAACTTGGACATTCATCTTCTGTAATTATTCCAAGTTTCAAGCAATTTTCTCTTACTTCATCTGATATTTCTAGTTCATCAAACATACAAATGTCAAATGTCAAGGATTTATCCTTCGGACAATTAAATAGTGTCTCATAAGCCAACTTTGATACTTCATAAATAAAATGCCTGTTTAATCTTAATTTGGTTTTATCAGCTAAATATTGAGGGAGGTTTACTTTCTGAGTCCCCTGCATGGGTCGAGTACTTGTTCCTGTAGTTTTCATGTCATTCCAGGTGAAGAATAATTCTAACATTCAGGTGTAGATGGTACATCTTGAGGTTTTATCGAGTTTACCATCAAACCATAGACATATCAGATGTTGTAGCATAATTGGTACCTGTTTTAAACTTTCCAGGGACTCTTCCTTTAGCTTTTCCATACAGTCTCTAGCTCTTTTATTAGCATGTCTTCTTACATTTAATTGTGAGACTGTCCTATTTACCATTTCCCTTTCGCATATTAAATCAAACCCTTTCAGATTCAGCGACTGTTCAATCTCCACATCACTTAATCTTAATGTATGAAATTTCCATGGCCGCGAAGTAGTTACTATTGTGTACTCCTTAAAGATACAATGTTCTGGGATATTTTCAGAAGACCATTCATCTAAGCCATCAAGCAAAATCATGACTCTAGAGGATTCCTCTTCAGGAAGTGTGTTTACAATTTTCATTTGATAACGTTTCTGAAGCATTTCATCAATAGTGTCAATGTTTTGATACTGTCTAAGAGGGATGTAAAATACAATATCAAATTTCTTCATCTCTTTTACACCATTGAATTTCAGTTCATAATTTATGTCAAATTCAAAGTCTGTTAAGATACCACCAGAGTCATCATTGTGGGATTCGGAGTGTATTAAGCCATCACTGTTATCCTGAATGTCACCTTCAGGTTTGCTACTGCCATCTTCGTTTCCATTGTCAGCTTCATGTTCCTCACTGTGTGCAAAACACCAACAGTTGGCCAGATATTTACAAAAACTACCTCCATGATTTTCATCTTCGTCATTATCACGTCCACGCTTTTCACTGTCACCTTCAATTTCGTTGACACCTCCATGTTTTTCATTGTCAGCTTCATGTTCCTCACTGTGTGCAAAACACCAACAGTTGACCAGATATTTACAAAAACTAGTTTTTCCTGACCCTGCATCTCCTAAAACATATATAGATTTTTGGGAGACTCCGTCCTTTGTGAAGATTTCTGACATTGTTTTAACCTCAACCTCCTCTGTCTCACCCTTTTCTTCTTTTATTTCCCTCGTTATTTTGGGTCTAATATAAATGTCATTAAAGGTACATTTTTCACTTTTTGGTTGTAAAGGTGTTGTAGAAATTTGCAGCAGGGTTTTGTGATATTGTTCTATCAGCTTCTTCTGCCGTTCTGTAATTTAAATGATAATATGACATCAAAATGTTAAGGACAAATCAATGGGTAAATGATACATAAAATAAGTATAGATCTGGACAGATAATCACAAAAATATATTAAAGAAATGACCACAGTACTGAGGGCCTCCTTGAATTATAAAGATCAATCAGCCAGTCAGCAAATATTTAACAGACTGTGACAGTTTATGACAAGAGACACACACTGCAAAATATCCTGCCAAACAAGGGCAACATTGTCACTAGAAACGCCTGTCACAATAGCTTTTGACAGAGATTTAGGAATTATAAATTCATATACACATAGGAGATATGCTCTTGGAAATATCAAAATATCTTGATATTTTATCATCTCTTTTGACCCTGACCTTGCAAATATTAACCTACATTACGTGTGCCATAATAGTTATCATTTGTGTTACAATCCATTAATAAAAGATTATTAAATTTGGTTCCCGGTCACAAATTTTGACCTCTCTATGGAACCTTGACTTTGATTGCAGGGACATGGTTAGTCTGCTCAATAAGCCTCACAATTGTGAACTTGTTTGCCAAGTAACATTAAAATCCACCGATGAATCTCCTTACAATGGTGAACATTTTTGCCAAGTTACATTAAAATTCCACGATGAATGTAGAAGTTCGGCTCCAAACAAGCGTTTTTAGTGACCTTAACCTTTTTAGTGTCACCTTAACCTTTAACCTTAGACATGGTTCATGCACATGACACTGCTTCTCATATTGGTAAACATTTCTATGAAGTTTCATTATAATTTAACCATGCATCGAGAATATATGGTTTAGGCAAATTTTCGACATTTTATCATCTTAAGTGAACTTGACCTTGCATATCGAGGGCTTAACGCGAAACTAGTGTAAGTGACATTTTTAACAAAAATCACTTTTACTATTATCATGATTAGAACTAACATATCTGTTCCCTGTATAAGTATTTTCTATGATTTCCAACATTAAATTAGATAATCTCATATTATGACAAATGATGTAAGTGAAAATGCTCCATTTTTTTTTAAAATGTGAAACTAGACTAAGTGACACAGGCACATCAGTTTCACATTCAAATTTTCCCCAATCCATTTATGAGCAAAAGGTTAAAGTGATGAAAGTATGCAAAATTGTTTTAAATTATTTAATATTAAAAAAAATTGACACAATATTAGTGATTGTAAGCAAGATAGACCACATTTTATTGAAAACATATGCAGGTTATAAAACATATGTCACTTACACTGTTTTCATATTCACAATTCAAGTTTTCAAAGAGGTTTAAATATAAATTTAGTGTAAGTGTACTCACTAGTTTACATGTAATTACATCACGAGTGTATCAGATATATATTCGCCGGCAGATATATACAGTGTATCAGATATTTATTATCTGGCAGATATTTACAGCGTATCAGATATATATTCGCCGGCAGATATATATGTGTATCAGATATATATTCGCCAGCAGATATATATGTGTATCAGATATATATTAGCCGGAAGATATATACGGTGTATCAGATATATATTATCCGGCAGATATATACAGTGTATCAGATATATATTAACCGGCAGATATATATGTGTATCAGATATATATTCGCCAGCAGATATATATGTGTATCAGATATATATTCGCCGGCAGATATATACAGTGTATCAGATATATATTAACCGGCAGATATATATGTGTATCAGATATATATTCGCCAGCAAATATATATGTGTATCAGATATATATTCGCCGGCAGATATATACAGTGTATCAGATATATATTATCCGGCAGATATATACAGTGTATCAGATATATATTAACCGGCAGATATATACAGTGTATCAGATATATATTCGCCGGCAGATATATATGTGTATCAGATATATATTCGCCGGCAGATATATATGTGTATCAGATATATATTCGCCGGCAGATATATATGTGTATCAGATATATATTCGCCGGCAGATATATATGTGTATCAGATATATATTCGCCGGCAGATATATATGTGTATCAGATATATATTCGCCGGCAGATATATATGTGTATCAGATATATATTAACCGGCAGATATATATGTGTATCAGATATACATTCGCCGGCAGATATATATGTGTATCAGATATATATTCGCCGGCAGATATATATGTGTATCAGATATATATTCGCCGGCAGATATATATGTGTATCAGATATATATTCGCCGGCAGATATATATGTGTATCAGATATATATTCGCCGGCATATATATATGTGTATCAGATATAGATTAGCCGGAAGATATATACGGTGTATCAGATATATATTCGCCGGCAGATATATATGTGTATCAGATATAGATTAGCCGGCAGATATATATGTGTATCAGATATAGATTAGCCGGAAGATATATATGTGTATCAGATATAGATTAGCCGGAAGATATATACGGTGTATCAGATATATATTCGCCGGCAGATATATATGTGTATCAGATATAGATTAGCCGGCAGATATATATGTGTATCAGATATAGATTAGCCGGAAGATATATATGTGTATCAGATATAGATTAGCCGGAAGATATATACGGTGTATCAGATACTTTGTTTATAGTGAAATCGCTTAAAGCGTATCATCGGTTACTGAGGTCCCCACCAACCATTTACCACAGTTAATAAGTTGTTTATAGCTAACTGTGATTTTCACATACCTAACATGCTTTCACACCTTGACAGACTTAAATAGCAGACAAAGATGCAACAATACCGCTCAAGTGTGATACATGTTTATCGAAACCAGTAATCTATAATCTGTGACTTTTTGTAATACAAAGAGTAAATTAAGATAATTTGGGTCCATTATAAAATTGGAATGGCATGATTTACATTTACCTTCTATTTGTATATATTAACTGTGTATTTTTGTTTGTATTTTGTTTTGTTGATTTTCCTAAATAAAGTTCAGTGCATTTATCACGGAGCCGTTAATACAAAGTCACATGAAAAAATAGACAATTAATAAATGTTTATCTTGTTTCATCATTATACCCGTTCCTGAAATAAAATGCTTATGATTTATAATTATGTTGAAAAGGTAGAACTATGTGTATGCATTGTAAAACGGCAAAAGCATGTGATTTTAAAATTGATAAAATATGAAGTTTTAACACCTATATAGTTACAAAGTTCTGAATTTGTAATGATTTTACAATAATTTAATAATAAGAATAAATAACAGTTATAAATATTAAATAGTCGATCAAGTGAGCAGTTCGTTTTATGTTTGCTATATATAAGTTGTTCTATTTCCTTATATTGTTTATAAGAAACCTCAGATATAGTAAACTAAATGTCATGGTCCGAACAAATTCCTTATAACCGAGTTTCACTGTATATGCATGTTCATGAACACACCTTTGCATGGAACAAATTCATGTTCATGGGAATATTTAAATTTTCATATGATTGGACTCTGAACGCAAAATGTTTGCAATACACAATTACAAGTGCTCATTAAGTATCTTAAATAAACTTTTATAACTTTCACTGCAGAATGTTATCTATACAAGCAACAAGACATCGGGGTGATGGAATCTTCAAGAGTGCTGGAAAACAATGTACGGCAAATAGTCTTGCTTCCATGGTTTTTGCAACTGAAAAGTCACCTGCAATTTGGAAAAAAGTGACCTTGACAAAAGCCTAAATGATGGGGATGACTTATATCAATCCCTATGTGTAGACAAGTATCTTCTTGTTAGCGAACTTCCAAAACAGACGTCTCATTTTCAGATGAAAATGTTGAATGCTTTTAGTGGAACTATAAATAGGGAAACAACAGAGGAACCATTTTTCAATTTGTTCGATTCTCTAAAAGTTATGAATGACTTTTGCTTTTTAACAGTTGCCTGCTACACTATGGCTGTTATAAAAACAAATGACAAATTCTATTTGTTCGATCCACACAGCCGAAATGAATGTGGGATGCCTTGTTCTGAAGGGATGGCTGTTTTGACTGGACACTCCTCTCTGGAAAACTTAATATCTTTTATTCGACACCTGTCATCAGTTCTTCTCTCATGCACTGAAGTTTGTTTTGAAATTAATCATGTTACAATACTTAAAGGTAAAGATTCTGACTGCTTTTCAGATTCTTCAGATTCTTCTAGTGATTTTTCAGGTTTTACAACAATGAGTGAAGGTGAATATGCCTGTAATCTTTATTTGATAGAAGAAATGAAAAGTCAACTTTTATCTGAATCAGAATTATCTGATTCAGATGACACAGACAAGTCTGATTCTGAATTTTCTAGTATTAGTGATACTGAAAAAGATGATTTAAATACTGAGCTAGTTAATAATACGGTTGAAGGTTCTAAGTCATATGATGACATAGCCTGTGGGAGTATAAAGGGTGGTGGTCATGATGATAGAGTTGAGGTAGACACAGTTCTAGGAGAAAATGTGGTTGAGAGATGCGAGTCAGATGGTGAATTACTTAGTGTGAGTGTTAAGGGTGGTAGTGATCTTGATAGAATTGAGTTTGATACAATGCTGGGAGAGGATATAGTAGAAAGTTGTAGGTCAGATGGTGAATTAGTTATTGAGAATGTAAATGGTAGTGGTGATGCTGATAGAGTTGAGGTAGATACAGTGCTAGATGAGGATATGGTAGAAAGTTGTAGGTCAGATGGTGAATTAGTTATTGAGAATGTAAATGGTAGTGCTGATAGAGTTGAGGTAGATACAGTGCTAGATGAGGATATGGTAGAAAGTTGTAGGTCAGATGGTGAATTAGTTATTGAGAATGTAAATGGTAGTGGTGATGCTGATAGAGTTGAGGTAGATACAGTGCTAGGTGAGGATATGGTAGACAGTTGTAGGTCAGATAGTGAATTTGTTATTGAGAATGTAAAAGGTAGTGGCGATAGAGTTGAGAATGTAAATGGTAGTGGTGATGCTGATATAGTTGAGGTAGATACAGTGCTAGGCAGTTTATTATAAGTAATACTAATAAATGTGAGAAAAGTAGGGGAAGAAAAAACTGACTTCACGCAGGAAATTTTCCTACAAATATTTTTTTTTCAAATTCAGATTCAAATTCCCCTGTCCGTGTATGCAAACATTTTTTTTTAATACACTTGATATTGGCCAGTCTGTTGTAATGACTGCTCATTCCAAAATACAGATACAGGGGGTGGTAGAGAAAGATTTTAGAGGGAGGTCTGATGGCAGCAGAATTAACTCAGTACCAGACACAAAACTTAATATTGTCAGGGAACATATAAAATCTTTTAAGACAGTTGATTCACATTATTGTCGTAAAAATAGTAAACGCCAATACATTGATTCTTCTTTAAGTCTTAAAAAGATGTATGATCTATACAGTGATTATTGTCACAGTCATAATTTTGAAACTGTCCCTGTTCATATTTATCGTAAAATATTTAATACTGAGTTCAACATCAGTTTTCATAAACCTGTAAATGATCAATGTGATCTTTGCAATTCATTTTCAAATGCAATTGGAGAAACTAAATTGCAGATGGAAGCGAATTACAAAGATCACATTAGAAACAGCAAGCGTGCTCAAGAGAGTAAAGTTTATGACAAAAATAGGGCAATATCAGATAGGGAAATAACTGTAGCATGTTTTGACCTAGAACAGGTTTTACAAACTCCTCACGGAAAATCGTCTGCCTTTTTTTTTCAAAAGGCGACTCAATACTTATAACTTTTCTATATACAACCTGGGTAATAAAGATGGACATTGTTTTATATGGGATGAAACCACAGCTGGTAGAGGTTCATGTGAAATAGCCTCATGTGTCTTTAAATTTATACAAGAAAGAGCTAATCAAGGCTGCAAAAGGTTCATTTTTTATTCAGATAACTGCTCTGCTCAAAACAAAAATAGGTATTACATTACAATGCTATGGTATTGTCTACAAAAATTTAATCTTGAAGCTATAGAACATAAATATCTTGAAAAAGGACATACCTTTAATGAGAATGATAGTATTCATGCTGCAGTTGAAAATGTTACCAGACACTTAAACCTTTACACAACTAGTCAGTGGGCAGGTATTATACAAACAGCTAGACGTAGGCATCCATACAAAGTTCATGAGATGTCCTTGCATGATTTTTCTTTTTTTTAAACTTTTATCCATTCAAGTGTTTGAAAATTTTTGACTTAAATGAAGAAAGGCAAAAGGTATTCATAAGTCAAGTAAGAGTACTTAAAGTTGAGTATAATGAACCAAATAAATACAAGTTTAAATACGATTATGACAGTCCTGTCCTTGAAGTCGTAAGTCTAGTGTCACGTATTAGACGCCATATTGCCAGTGTACCTGACCCTAAAGACTTGAGGCTGGCTAAATTAAGAAATGACTATATAAAGATAAGTGCTGATAAATATAATGACCTTATTACTCTGTGCCTTGATAACATCATTCCTAGAGCAAACCATTTTTTCTATGCTTTTCTGCCACATGAAACTAGTGTTGAACAGCCACAAAAATAATGTGGCTTAAAAATGATACAAGAGTCCTTGAAAAAATCCTTGTATAAGAAACTTATTAAGATAAGTGATTTTTTATAAAGATTGTTAATTTAATATCAATGTGATGCTTACCCATTATGCATTTATGATAGAAATTTTGAGTAGTTACCACGCTTTAGGCCAGTTCATTAGGGGTCAATGTTCAGTTCAAGTTTATATTAAATTGTGCTACTTATTATAGCATTAGATTACATGTATATGCCATAAGTTATAAAAATGTTGTTAATTATTGCATAGTTGTGTGTATTATAGTCATTCTAAAGTAAATCTCTATTATATTTCATGTATATTTTGCATCTGCTAAAAGCAGCTATATCTTGATTTTTATAAGAAGCAAATGCAACTTGTGCAAAGTAGATTTGAAGTTAAGTTTTGTTTGTTAAATTATAGATACTGAATATTGTAATATTTGTTGATGTTGAATTGGTGATGTTACTTCTGAATACTGTATTAACCTCTTAATAAGGAGTAGCTTTGGAACATTTCAATCATACTGGCAGTTTTTGTCCTTGATGTAATTACAATAAACTTGATGAAAATACACTGAAACTTAAAATACTGATTTGTTCTTCATTTAAATTGTTTATAAGTTTCTCATCTTGTGCATAACATAATAGATAGTTATTGGAAATGTGTTAAATCAAAATTATTGGATTTTAATGTATAATGTTAATTTCTGGTAAGTGGCAATTCATACTAGAGGAGTTCTATTTCATGATTCCATCTGATAATTGTAATATAATAGTGACTATTGTTATAATGTTACTGAGCTTTATGTGTTCCCTGTTTTTGTATGGTTATGAAAATGCTTGAACAATAACAAAGTCCATGTGGCATTTCGAGCTGTTGAATAAATCAAGCAGTTATATATTATTTTTGCATTATAATTGTGTGGTTACAGGTATATATGATTTACCTACATGTTATTCGGCATACATATGCATGTATATTACATTTTCTACAATGGTAAACTGTAATTTATTAGAATTGTATCACCTGGGCAATTGCAAATGTGCCAATTGGGCAAATTAGAATTTATCATATGCACAAAAAGTTTCATATCAATTGTGCCACAAATCATAAAGGTCAAACCATGTGTGATTGATGTGTGATTTCAATTGCACCACTGTAATTGCAATTGGTAAAATGAAAATAGCACAAATGATGACGATGGTGCAAAAGTTTACTATTTTGGTGCAGATCAATGGTATGTGACAGCAGTGCATTGAAAATGCCATTTGGCACAAATGATATCACCTGTTATTAAATAATTTACATAGAGGATATTTGTTTGTTTTGCATATAAGATTGAAATATAATTTCATTGAGTGACTACCAGATGCAATACGAGTGGCGTAGCCACGAGTGAAAATATAATAGCTGCTGTTCACGAATGAAATATATTTCAATCTTATATGTAAAACAAATAAATTTTCTTTTTATTTCTTGCTTTTTAAGTGATTTTAAGTATTTTTTACTTATTTTGCCGCGTAACGTCACGCATTCTCCTTTGTGACGTCATCACTTCATGACGTCACATCATGAATATTTTAAAATATAGGTCTGTTCAATTTCTCTAATTTTGTTTCATTTTTAACATGATGTATGATGACATCGACTTTCTTTTCCTAAAGAAGCAAAATTTACGCATATCGGCATTTATTTCTGCCTGTTATTTCATTTAGTTATGATTTTCTTTTCATCCGCATTCAGATATAGTCCGGCTACAGTGAAAATTATATTTTATAAATTTCACTAGTGGTTTATCAGAATATAATCATCTGATATATTACAATAAAACACTGGAAAGCATGAAATAAAGTAAATTAACATTGTAAATAGTAACATAATATTGACTCCTGTGTGTGAAATTTTTATGATAAGTTAATTAAGCAAACAATTGTATCTGTAATGATGAATTTCTCAAATTACCTGAGCGAGGTGACCAGGTATTCTTCATAAAAAAGTAGTGAAGACATTAGTCATCATGTCCAGATGCATTAATTTGCTTTTGTTTTTACATTAGTGAATGAAAGTATTGTATGATTTACTTAAAGATAAATTGCATACTTAATTTGCCAAAATTATGAATTCTAGTTAAAGTTTAATTGAAATAAAACATTTAAAATAACATTGTTTTTCATTCTTTCCAATGTTTGCAATTGGCTTGACACTGTTTAAGGCCTTTTTAACTTTTAAAAAAACTTAAGTGATTATTATACCAAAGTAACATGACAATCTGAAACCAAATTGTGGTTCGAATTGCTTTCTAAACCAATATTCCCCTATATCAGTGATAAACTGTGAGTGATACAGATTTTATTTCACTAATAAATTTCATTGAATAAAATTAAACACCAGACTTAATTCTTTCAATTATTCCCCTTAGATAACTTTTGGAACTTTTTGAGCTGATCCTACCACTATGTAAGTGACAATGACAGACTTTTAAATGTCTGCATTTATAAATGTGAAAACAATGTAACTGACATTTTACAAAAAGATGGATATTATAAAAAAAACAACAGCTCTTTAGAACCAAAACAACATTAATTGGGGTATAAATAGTTGAAAAAATAATCAAGAATAACTGCACTTACACACTTTTCACATTTAATTTTTTTAAACATTTTTAAAAGTTTTTTACCCTGAAACTGTTCTAAGTGACGTTCATTGTAATATTTTTTTCTGTAATGAGTGAATCTGAAGATCAAAACAAAGATGTAGGGAAAAAAGTTGATTTGCACATATAATTGTAGTATTTAGTTAAAATATACAGTAATGATAAATTTAAACAGTTATTTCCTTCTCCTGCAAAATGTTTGAAAATGCACTTACACTAGTTTCGCTTTCAGCCCTCGATATATTAATAACCTTAATTACATGTACATTACAACAGTTATGATAATGATGACCATTTGTGTTTCAATCCCTCAATAAATGATGACTAAATGGTTTAACTACTCATGTTCATATTCTTATCTGAACTTTGACCCCTATGTATGACCTTGACCGCTGCCCCTGTAATATCAACCTAGTCTTTTAATAAGCTTGTTATACACTTAGTTTGATTACAATAGCGCAATCCTAACATTAGTTAATGTCTGGTCAAACATTTTTCTATTTAAAGTAATGGTGACCTTGACCTCGACACCAGGGGGTCGGTCGAACTTACAAGCTGACTCCTATATATAAGCCACCCACCCCCCCCCCTTCTGAAACTTCGTTTTTGGGGGTATACTAATGTAACAATGACGTTTTTAAATTGCCAAATGTCATACACTGGAGTGTACACTATCAACTAAAATATTTACTCACCTAACTTAGCTTGCTCATAATCTGCCTGACTTTGACCTGTGGAAGTTTCTTTCTTATTTGTTGCCATCTCCTGCAGAAAAACATATCTTCTTTACTCCAATAAAGACTTTTATTACAGAAGAGGGCCATAATGGCCCTGAAATCGCTCATCTGTATATAGGCGCCCTGGGGCGGGGCCAATTTTAACCCAGGGGCTTTTATTTGAACAAACGTGGTAGACACATATTAGAAGATGTTTCATGATAAATATATAAGCTCTAGTTCTTTGGGTTTTTTAAATGAATTTATATTCTACTCACTTAAGTAAAACAAAATTCAATTGATGAGTTTTGTTTAAAAACCCTCACAATATAATAAACTCTACAGTCTTTGATTTCTTGGGTTTAACAACCAAAGGACATTACCGAAATATATCAATGTTCAGTAGAAAACCCTATATTTCTTTAAACAATTTTGTCTTGTTTATGCATTTGTTTTAGGTTAAAGTATGTTTTTGTAAGCGAAAAGGATATATTTAAACTGTGCTGTTTTTTATAAAATGTAAGAAACATTTCCAATTGCAAAATAACAACACTTTTGTCTGTTCATCTCATAGCGATACTAAAATTAAATATAAAAATTATGAAATCTTTGCAGCGATGTTGTGTTCTTGTTTAAAAGTATATATGTTCGATATCCTCTAGTATCATACTTTGCTCAAAGTTATATATTAAGTCAAACCTTTGTTTAAATGAACGAAATGTGATTGTATGTATTTTTCATTACAAATTCAATGAGTTTAGCATTTGAACAGTTTAGAATATTTTTTATAGTAAAACATAGATAATGTATATTTTACTGTAATAGTTTCAATTTTATTTTTTTTATTCTACCATTTCGAAGCGGGTGCACCCTATAACTACGCATGAATATCTTTCACAAATCAACAGCGCATGCGTATCTATCAAACAGTAAAGGCGCATGCGTATCTAATACAAAAAAACACACACACAAAAACACACACAAAAATTAGTCACCTGTAAACAGGGAGTTCTAAACTACAGACCAGCAATGCAGTCATTTTCTGTTCATTTCCGTTCTTAACTACGTTTGTTTAAGCTGTTCATTATAACATGAATCTAAAATATATCTTAACTGGGTCTGTTTACTCGGAAATAATGCGTAAAAAGCCTTTTTTAACGAATACTTTCATCGCCTTGTCATATATTAATTATGTGCCAACTTTCATAGAAGTTATTTTTCTTCAAGGTCAAGATAGGTACAATGATATAGTATTTGTTGGATACACTTTTGGGAAATTTCCGCATATTTCTTTTGGCCAAAGGCCTTAAAAATAGTATGACATCTTTTAAAGTTACAAAGGAGAACTGAAATAAAGTTGAATATTAATTCATGAAATTACAAGAAAAATCTGCGAATTGTTTGGGCCATTCTAAGAAAAGTTAAATACTTTCCAGAATTGAACTCTAGTGTTTTAAGTTCTTTCACTTACTAGTGTTTTTTCCCCGGATATTTAAGTTTATCTCTCACAAATAATTTACATTGATTTTTATGTATCTGTTATAATTGTGTCATAACTTTTTTCAAAACAACAGACATTTAAATACAATAAATTATTGCAGCGATGTATTTATCTTGTTTAAAAATTAAAAATTTGTTGTTTTTCCAATAAACTCATAATTTTCTTCAAGGTCATATGAGTCAAATGATTTAAATAGTATGTTTTAATACGAAATTGTTAATTGGTTTAGCATATATGAACTTAAACTGAATTGTTTACACTAAAATACAATAAATAAATGTACCTTTTTATGGTAACTTTCTGTATAAAATAGATAAATACAGAATCCCTAAAGAAAGCCCAACACGACAAAATTGAAAATGTTGCAGGCTCGGTTTGATTGAGCCTGTTCATGGACGGTACTGGAAAGTGCAAGTTACCGTCCATGCCCCCTAGCACCGGCTTAAGCAGAATTCAACATTTAAACATGAAATAGTAAAATTTTGAATTTAGAAACATCCGCAGATGTGTTCATACGGCGGTTATCATGGAACCTTCAATGTGACACTTCCGTGCCATTCCATGAAAAGCGGCGTATGGTCCCCAATTAATAAAAAGCGTGTGCCCTAAACGAGAAAACAATGGGCGGAACTAAATAAAATGGAATTTTGAAAGGGGATCAGAGGTTATGAAGCCTGCATATCACAGATAAGACGTCAAAAGACAAATTTAAAAAGCAGGCAACATATCCTAAGGGTGATTCAACATTATTCAAGTAGGAATATTTGAACCACCCAACTAGAAAATGCCGAAAAGTTGAAACTAAAAATACCACAAGCACAACAATAATGTCCCTTGTTATCCAATCCAGGACTTAATTCCGGCATTTCGGAGCGGACACTCAATGAAACTTTCATTAACTTATCTGCGTATGTGTCAGTAATCAAAAGCGCATGCGTATCTTTCCCATAAATGATTCGTTATTTTGACATGTTTTTTAATGTGTCCAAGTCAAGATAAAAATATACATTGAATTGTCCCCTTCTCTTTTTACATTTTTTAATTCTATAATAAATGATTTAAAAACAAACACAACAAAAAGAAAGTGTTGGAAACATGTATGCAAAAAGACAACTTACACTTCATTTTGTACTCGACTTTTAAATGATAAAATAAATACAGTTATTGTTACAGTAATCTCGGCGTTGCCGTCTACAAAAGTGTACCTTGTTCATAACTTTTAAGTTCGTAGTGTATTTTCTTCATACTTGGCCACAACAACCCTTTGGACAAGACATTTAAGGATACCAGACTTACATTGAACTTTAGTTATAAATGACCTTGACCGTTATTTAATTTTCCATTCTTTTTTGCTGTTACTGGCTAGAACTTTACTTTAAACTGATGAATTGACTTAAAATTCTAACAATACATTATTTAGGATAAAACGTAAATGAACATTTAACTCAAATTGACTTTGACTGTTTTATGACCTTGACATTTTATTGCTCTAATTGCAAGCAACTTGGTAATTGATAATTATATTTAGTAATAACAAAAATGAATTATCTTCATACTATGTCAAAACAACATTTTGTACGAGAACTTATAAAAGGTTGAACTGACCTTATCTTTGGGCTTTTAAATGACCTTGCCCGTCAGTGTCAAATTATTGAATTCTTGGTTTAGTTGTCATAATTGTTTTATTTATGTACGGATTTGATTCATACGTGGATAAAACAACACTTTTTACCAAACAGACATATGAAATAATTTAGATATGTCCTTGACCGCTAAATGACCTAAACCGTCAAATGATTGAATTTTGATTATATTTTTTCAAAGTTTGAAATTGATAAATTGAAAGGATTCATATCTGGACAAAACAACAAGTGTGTCTAGAGAGACATTTTAAAATTAAAAAAAAGACAAAAACGAAAAACATTTTTATTTTATTTTTATTTTTAAAAAATTGCTTATACTGTTAATTTGTTTTTATAACAGTAAATAGCAGTTCACATTTCTTGTTAACAGTACATTACAGTTTATTGTTCTTTATTACAGTATTTTATAACGCTTAAACATAGAACAACGGGAATAAGTTGACTCTCATATCGTGCAATGTGAAAAGCCAGTTAAAAAAATACAAGTATCAACTTGATCAGAAAGTACTCAAAATTATAACAAAAATCTAATCGATTTTACTGTCATTTCATAACATTCCTCTTATCTTTGAAAATATTTATTTGTTTAAACTCCCCTTAGATACCAACAATTATCTATTGGAAATTGTGATTTTTAATCTCCATTGACGTATAGGCATTTTTTACCTCCAATATAAATGGAATTCATCGGGTTTGATCAACATATGCGTTGTTTAAATCATACTGGGTCATGCAGATTAAAAAAAACAATGTCACTAAATATTTGTGTTGATAATGGGAAGTTATTGAAATCGTTTTAGCTACAGAAAAAAACAGTCTAGTATGCTTTTAACATGGTTATTGACACTGAAAACCTTTACTTGTAAGATCTCTTTGCATGGTCTTAACATAGAAATGGGACATCAGTTAACAAAATAATTATTTAAAACATGTGAAAACAGTTTATTTCCCTCTCTATATGAGCTTTCTCTGCTATGAATTAAATTATATGAGTACAATGTTCCTTTTTATTGTAAGATACTGACATTTTTTAAGGCATCTTTGTTAACGAATTTGTTACCTACAAGTATAATAAATAATACTTGGAAATCAATTTCAAAGACATAATATAAATCAAGAGGCGTATCGCTGTCAATATGTTATATACATATAGATAAAGTACTGTTTAGTGGTAATATCTTCGCTTTTCAAACAAACTAACATTAAAAAGCATATTTATCTCTTGACCAAACATCAGAAGACTTAGTGAACATTTTGTTGAAGCTTGTTCAGAGGAGTGTCACACCATGAGTATGTAAAATATATAATCGTCCAAAATATTCTGGTTTTCATGTCAAACATTTAAAAGCATACGTTCAACGTACATTTATCACTATTTGTACATCACTTTTAGGACAAGTTGTAGTCCTATTTATTCCCAATAACCTTCAAACTACAGTAACGATATAAGCAGTACATTGCCTCCCTTGATGTGGATTTGTTATGGACAACCAAAACTACACCTATCTTATGTAACCAATTAAAAGTATTAGCAACTGTTAAAGCAAGTATATCAGATAGGCCAATGGCTTCTTTCAATCTGTGTAAAATAATCGCAGACAAGCATTATATATTCTTTTTCATGATCAGAAATCAGGGAATGGCCACTCAAAGCAAATGACATGAACTCTAAGCGTGCATGCAATGTGTTGCAAAGGAGAACGACCGATACCAGATGCTCGTATACCATTTGCGTAAAGAGCACAAGTTTCGTACAGAATCTCACATATTCCTGATAAAGCGGGCCGTTCTCGCTGCGACGCTTGTCACATTTTTAAGATTCCATTTATAATAGAAAGCATTTTACTTCAATCAATCGAATAAAACTATGTCCCCAGCCCCAAAAAATTGTGGGAGGGGGGGGGGGGGCTATTCTAATCTCACTAGCTACATCGTCATTGCATTATGCATAGTATCAGATTGAGACTAAGGTCCTAGAAAATCCAGCCCGAAATCATATATATATATATATATATATATATTGTCAAGCTTGTAATATGTGAGACATAGACGCGTACCCTATTTGCATTTGAGATTGGCGCAAATTACTAGCATTGACAAAACCTGACATTAGTCACACCGGAATTGAGATCAGAGTACATATCAGAAGTATCTCTATAAATATGAAACCTTTGAATCGACATTCCTTGCATCAACCGATTTGAGTCCATAAATGCATGGGAGGTATTAAACCAAACAATACAAGTAGACTATATGGCAGCTCGAGTGCCATAACCTACAGTAGCATTATGAACATTATATGCCATAATATTTGTTGAATTAAAATATACAAAGTAACTGACAGTAGGAATACTGTATTTCTGCCAACCATTTATATCAAAAATCTTCAAAATAATATGTGTTAAAATGAAATGCGAATGTTAATAATTTAACTTATTATAAGGCCTTATTTACATTTATAATTTAATGGTTTCGTATAGTAAACTCCAAATGACAGAGAACAAAGCGATACTATCTCCAAAGACATACACACCCATATTGCAATACGGGGCTACAACCGAGGCGACATGTGTCAAAGCTATTACAACATGGCTTCGCGAGTTTCTTTCCATTTTTAATGCTACTTTCTATGAAGGGCTGAAGCTTGCACCCACTTTGTTTTCTTTATTCTGGACTTTAATAGTATAAATAAACCAAACACCAAGCTTCTTGATAATATTTGTTTAATAAATGTTTTGAACAAGAGATAATATACTTTATTTAAATGCATCAACTTATGAAACTATGTAAATATTCAATTCTTACAACATTGTTTTTTTCTTATACAAGTTATGACCAGATTTATATCAAAGATCTTTATTTGTTTAATAAATTATATTAGACGAATGATTTCAAGAATGTTACCTAGGCGTCAGAAATAGTACCATTAGCGTAAATAAAACGAAAGGGAAACAACCTGGTCTACTACACAATCTTTATATTTTAACCCTATGATTATGACAGAAATTTATCCAAAGACCATTCCTAAATTTTCATAAAAATACACTTGATATTTCAGGAGATATGAAGGTCATAGGTGTTTTTCTTTTTTAGCTTTGGCAGACATCTTATTCAGGGAACTAATACAATTTAAGGAACTTAAATAATAAAACCCCCTATGATCATTTCAACAGAATAGCATCAAATTTTCCACATAATTAAAATGAAGATCTCATTTAAAGGTTATCCTATTTTGAAAAAAAAAAACAACGCCAGGGCTGTTGATAACAAAATGTCATATTACCGTTACATTTTGTTTCTATTTTTAGGTCTGGGAGTCATTGCATTCTATTTATGATTTTTAAAAAGATAACGAGCTTTAAGTGGCTTCGTGGCCAACGTGTTGTTGTTATGACACTTAAATAAACACTTATCCAAGGTTTGAATTCCGACATTTTAATCAAAACAAGATAAAATCTACAACTTCAGCGCATTCGTATCAATCTTCAAAATTTCAAGTTGTCATGATATGACCTCGAGCGCAAAATTGGTCCTTTCCTAATCTTAAACTTTAAATTTTAAGATTTTACCTGGCTGTAACTCATTGTTTACACTCTGAGCACTGATAGAATATTGATAAAAGATTAATTAAATTGAAAAGAGGATATATCAAAGACTTGTTATGATAACCGATCAAAGGACTTTGCCAGGAATGAAATTGAATTCAACGATTTAAGAAACTTAAGATTTAGCATGTCATGTAAGACATAATATTAGAATTTTACAATTCAGTGAAAAGCAAATAATTCATGACACAATTTAATTGTAGAATATGTAGAACTTAGAGCGTATACTATGTAGGAATGTTGTCAATAATCCTTTAAATTGTCATGCAGTTAAATTTGAAAAAAGTGCTAATCAATTTTAAACTTCCAGAAACATGTATTAAAATTTCTTATGAAGAATTGACTCAACTGTTGATTTGATATTGTTTTTATTGATAAATTATATGTTCTACTGTCACTTTACATAATTGTACTGTAAAAGATTAGTAGAAACGTACTTTACATGAAGAAAACCGTTGACTATGATTAAGAAACGAATGTATTTAAATGCCATTCATATTGACACACATTTTAAAGCATACAGATAACCATCTGGTCTTGGACGTCGCAACAAATTTACCTTGTATAAGTAAAAAAGTTATAGTCAATAATAGGAAGTGTATAATACTCGAAACTCTCCGTACCGCTGACTAACAAAAGTAACGTTTTGGTAGCGAAGAATTTACGTAAGCTTTTGAAAGATACAAAATGTATACACATTAGCTTGTGTTATTCATAATTATGAATATCATTGCATAAGCTTTTTGAAAATGTCACTTTAATATCATGTGAACAATATAAAGTATGCTATTTTTCTAGCATTATGATATTTTTTGTAAGGGACCACTGATTAAGTGACCACAAAATTTTATGATTATGCATTGATAAATTTTCGCGACTGCTTATTAGACAAATTTATAACATTTCTACGCAGTTAATCCGTAAATCTCTTTTTAAAATATCAACACGCCATCAATAAAATGTAATAAACATGTTCGTTATGATCGCCTAGCTGATTAAAATTGAATGCAAAACTTTACTCTGTCCAAGGCCAGTTGCGTTCTGTTTTAAGCCATTGTTTCTTTGGCATATCAATATTGAGAGGAATTAACTTATACACATATATTAGTTCCGGTCGTCGCCTTATAGCCACAACACAAACACTGTTTAGCATTTGTTATTCGTAGAATCTCAATGGAAATCCTAATATCATATTACTATCATATCACATACCTACTTAAGTCAAACAACATTCAATTTATGAGTTTTGTTTAAAAACCCTCACAATATTATAAACTGTAAAATTTTCGATTTCTTGGGTTTAACAACCAATGGACATTACTAAAATATATGAATGTTCAGTAAAAAAATCTCTATAACTCTTTACCAACTTTGTCTAGTTTATACTTTTGATTTAGGTTAAAGTATGCATTTTCAAGAGAAAAAGATAAATTTAAAACTGTACTGTTTTTAATAAATTGGTAGACACATAAATAATAGTTTCCTATTGCAAAATAACAACAATTTTGTCTGAACATCTGCAAGCGATACTAAAATTAAATATATAAATTATCAAATTATTGCAGCGATGCTGTGTTCATGTTGAAAAGTATATCTGTTCTATATACTTTGGTTTCACACTTTGCTCAAAGTCATATTAAGAAAAACCTTTGTTTCGATGAGCGAAATGTGATGCAAATATTCTATTTAAATATTCAATGAGTTAAGCATTTGAGTAGTTTAGAATAAATGTTTTCCAGTGAAACATAAATAATGTACATTTTACTGTAATATTTTCAATTTGTCATTATATTTTATTCAGGACAAAATTCCACCATTTCAAAGCGGGTGCACCATATTACTACGTATGACTATCTTTCACAAATCAACAGCGCATGCGCATCTATCAAACAGTAAAAGCGCATGTGTATCTGTGCCAAGATATAAACACACTATTCCACTATAGCCTTTTATAAGACATCTCTAAAAATTACAATAGAGAACTGAATTTAAGTTGAATATTAATTCATTAAATTACAAGATAAATCTGCGAATTGTTTGGGCCATTCTAAGATAAGTTAAATATTTTCCTGAATTGAACTCAAGTGTTTTAAGTTCTTTCACTTACTAGTGTTTTTTCCCCGGATATTTAAGTTTATCTCTCACAAATTATTTACATTGCTTTTTATATCTCTGTCATTATAACGTTATATTTTTTCTCAAAACAACATATTTACCTCGGCCAAGTATCTTTTTTACAGGAAGTAAAACTGATTTGCAACCGCCTTTGTCCGGAAAATATGTACAGTTCTAACATAAAATGTTGACTACTGACTTAGTCAAAACACTTTCTTCTGCATTATAATAACGCTTTTGTCTGCATTTCTAAAAACGATCCTGACATTTAAATATAAATAAATTATTGCAGCCCTATATTGTTCTCGTTAAAAGTATTTCTTGCCAATATACTCTGGTATCAGTATCATATGTTTGACAATGGCATATAAGTCAAATGATTTAATATGTTTTAATTTAAAATGCTAAATTTGTTTAACATAAATAAAATCTAACATAATTGTCTTACATTAAAACAAATAATGTACTTTTACTGTACCTTTCTATAATAATCTTTATTACATGTTATTCAACCCAGGACTAAACTCCGCCATTTCGAAACGGGCGCTCCATAGAAATGCGTATGAACAAATTTCAATAACTTATCAACGGCGCATGCCTATCTATTACAAGTTAAAAGCGCATGCGTATCTGTCCCGCTTAATTGGTCATGATATAAACACCTGTTTAAGACTTGTCCCTCTTCGCCATATATGTTTTTATTTTTTTTTATTTTACAATCAAAATATTTAAAAAAAAACACACAATAACAAAACAATTATTGGTCACATGTTTGCACGGAAACAATTAACACTTTATTTTTGTCCTGTAATATACGTTTCGGATGAGGTTTGTTCACAGTTTACCATTAATTGTTCCTTATATCAGAATATCAATTATCTGTTTAACAGTATATAAAAGCTGACTGTTCCTTATATAACAGTTCGCTATTCTTGATAACAGTATAATACTTTTAACTGTTCTTTATTACATTATATTATAAAGTTGTAATATAGAAATATCGAAATAAGTTTACATGGACTGTTTACTAGGTCTTTAAAGTAAAATCGAGCTTTGTTTAAAACCATTTTAAAAATACAAGTAACTACCTGATCTGAAAGTACACAGAATATTAAAAAAGCAAATCGATGTAACGGTCATATAATTACATTTTTCTTATCTTAATAATCGTCCACTCATTGAAAAGCTTGATTTGTTTAAACTCACCCTAGATACCAAACATTTTATCTATTAAAAATGTCATATTCAATCTCCTTTTGGTTTATAGACCTTTTCCATCTCAGGTATAAATGGCATTCCTGAAGTTTGATAAATATATGATAAATCTATCATGCTTGCACCTTAACAAAATCACCTTAATGTCAACATATCATTGTAGCTTAATACCTGTGTGGATTAAAGGAAGTTAAATCTAAAAATTTTAGCTACAGAACGACAGGCTATGCTTTTAACATAGTTATAAGCACTGAAAAACTACTTTTCAGCTCTCTTTGCACGATCATAACATAGAAAGGAGTATCAATAACTGAAATAATTATTCAAAACATATAAAAACAGTTTATTTCCCTTTCTATTTGTTTTTTTTTTCTACCTACGAATTTACCAATACAATATTCCAGTTGTTTTTTTTTTAAATAAACCGCGACAGCAATCGATTTCTAGTATTTCCATAGACAGTATTATATTAAGATAAATATCATTTTTTAAGGCATATATGAAACTTTATTTGAAAAGTGTGTTGGACACACTATGACGGACAGTTCTTTAAAACCTTAGGACTGAATTGCCCTAATGTTAGTCTCCTGTCTTGCTTCGTCGGACCCTTGTAGGTGATTTTCTTGTTGCTCTATCTTCAATTAAGGCATCGAGTGCTTTGGTAATGGTCATTAGGCTATACCTATTTGAACATATCTACACGATCATTTATGTGTTTAATTTAGTTAGTCAAATGTAGCTATAACCATTGTTAGATTTTCACTTGGCGGGGATTAATATTATTTACACATTTTGTCATATATCACATGTCTGTATTGTTACTTGTTTTGAAAAATAGTTTCATGTCTTGTGATGTCTGCCTTGTTAAATTGTCGTCGGCCGTGTTTTCTCAACCCCTGCACTTTTTCTGTTTTTTTTCTCCCCCTTTTAACCTAATTGCCCTTATGATAGGCCCGTTTTTTCACACATAACTTGTCCCTCTCCTCCTTTCGACGCCCATGTGTCTGCTTACGGTTTTGGTTTTAAGCATTCTGGGTGCCCTGCTATGGTGGCTTGGGTGTGTCAGGGGCTGTGTCCTGTGGACGATGCCTTTGCTTTGTTGATCTTTATACTCATCTCTTTTTTTATTAGATGATATAATTTTGGAGCCTAAACTTACAGTTAGCGGTGGGAGGATTGCAGTGCCATACAAAATCTCCTACTTGAAATTCCCTAATTTTCTATTTTGAGTCATGGTTTTCTTTTGTCGTTTTGCAAAACCTAGCCAATTCCGATCTTCTACTTCAAAAGAAGTTATAGAGGCATTATAAAATCATTCAACATAATAAATTGTACATTTGTACATAAATTTTCAGTTTCTTGAGTTGGACCAATATATCATTTATAGCAATATTTATCTTAGTACCAAACATGAGAAGCTTTGGTGTATATTTTGTTCAGAAGCATGTTTTCATGAGGGGTACACATGAGAAAGTCAGCGAGTTAATCGTCCAAAACATTCTGGTTTTCATGGCAAAAAAATGAAAGCATACGAATGTTTCACGTTCCATAATGTTTTATGAATATATATATCACTATTCGACTGATAAGAGCGAATTTTAGTGTAATTTAAAAAAGAAAATAGCAAAGAGATAAGATGTAAAGTATATTCCTTGATTGGTGTGATTTTTTTTCTTGGCAACCAAAATCGATATATTACTACTGTAACCAAAGTTTCAGCGTCAGTTTAAGCAGATATATCAGATAAGCTAAAGACTTCTTTCTATTCTTTTCCATAATCAGTAAACAACTTCTACACAAATAACTTGACTCAACGCGTGCAGGCAATTTGTTGCAAAGGAGAACGACGGATACCAAATGCTCGTTTACCTTATGTGTAAAAACAAAAGTTTCGTACAAAATCTGACATGTTCCTGATAAAGCGAGCCATTCTTTTCCGATCGTCTCAAGCCAACTAATACCCGAGTAGCAAATTCATAATCAGTGATTGAGTCACTGTCTTTAAATTGACTTTGTGTAAGTAATTGTAAGATCTGTATCGGGGAACTGTTCTGTAAACCTATGATTTAGCTCCGAATTGGAAATGTCACATTTTTTAAGATTCCATTTTTATAGTGAGCAATTTTGTCAAACATTCGGATTAAACCATGTTCTCAGCCCAGACAATAATTTTATTGGGGTTATTCTGATCTCAGTAGCTGCATCACCAATGTTTTATGTATAGTATCAGCTTGAAACTAAGGTCACAGAAAAGCTGGTCGAAAATCATTTCTATTTTGTAAACCTTGTAATATGTGAGATATAGACCCGTACCCTGTAAGCATTTCAAATTGACACAACTCCCTTGTATTGCAAAAACCCGGCATTGGTTACACACCCGAATTGAGATCAGGGTATATATCAAATGTTTTTGTATAAATATTTGAGTCCAATAATGCAAGGAAGGTATTAAACCCAACATTAAAAGTAGATTGTATGGGAGCTCGAGTACCAACACTTACGGTAGCATAATGAAAACTATTTGTCATTATAATTGGTAAAGAATATAATATACAAAAGAACTGACAGTAGGAGTACTGTATTTCTGCACAGCATTCATTTCATAATACTTCAAAATAATATGTGTATCAAATGAAATGTGAATGCAAATAATTTAACTTAATATTAAGCCTACTTAACATTAATTGTTTCGTACAGCAAACTCCAAAAAGAAAGAGAACAAAGCGATGCTATCTCCAAAGACATGCACACTCAGGGACGCCAAAATGTAGCAATAGGGGCTTCACCCGAAGCGACAGGTTGCAAAGCTATTACAACATTGATTCGCGAAGTTCTTTCCATTTTAAATGCTACTTATTTATTTAGAGCTGAAGGTTGGACCCACTTCGTTCTCCCAGTATTCTGGACATTACCATAACGAATAAACGAAATACCGACTTTCTTGATCCGTTTTGTTTAATAACAGTTTAATAACAGTAATAACAAGTGATAATATACTTTATTTAAATGCCTCAGCTTAAAAAAACTATGTAAATATAAAATTTTAGCGATTATTATAATTCTTTCTTTCTTAGACAAAATCGTGTTCGCCGAGATATTAAAAGATTATAGCTTAGGTGTCAGAAATATGAACATTAGCATATTTAAAACGAAAGGGAAACAACCTTGTCTACTACACAATCTTTATATTTTAACCCTATAATAAATTTGAATGTTTGTTATATTAACTTATATACCTTTTTTGTTGTTAATAACAATTGTTATCGGACACGATATCGAGAGGTAGAAGATTAATTTACAACAACAACAACAACAACTGACATTAGCGCCGAAGATTGGCGTTTTTGTCATTATATAAATAACACATTGAATTTTGGGTTACAGTTAAAAAATCATTCCGAGGAAAATACCGGGGGTAAAAGTTTTTTAACGAGGGATGATATAAACGCATAATTTTGTGACGTCCAATAAAACAATCAAAACATATCAAATTAAGAAAGTGACTGTCAATCAATTTGGTTCTTGGATCATTTATCCATCTGTCTCTACTTTAAGGCGCATAATACCTCTCAGAAATCAAAAAAAGGAAGATACCGTTAAAAACGTGCAGCAATGTGTCATAAAACAATCATAAGACTATCACTGCCGATAATTACGTGACTAAAATTGTACAATGGGCTCATAAAATGGCGGCCTAAACGCTCGGTAAAAGCAGTGAAATTGAGGTAAGTTTACATTTAACGTTAAATTTATATGTAAAACTAGGCCGCACGGAACCCCTGTATAAAAACCACGTACTGTTCTGTTATTGGTTACTTTGCAGCTCTCTCTGTTTAGGCCTTAAAGTCAAAAAAGTTGTTTTGGGTGATGAGTACAATGGCCGAACAGGTACTAAAATACGTTGTTTTCAGTAAAAGAAACGCATTTTGAGCAAACTAAGAATGACATCTTGTGCATAATTGCAAGTTTACCCGTCAAGAACAATTTTCATTCTTTGTAAAGTTGCATAACGAAATTGTGCATCTTTTTAAAAACGAGTACATGTACAATGGTCGAACCAAATTCAATGAATACAATGGCCGAACAATTTTATTGCCTGTCCTATTTCGTCAATTTATTTCATTGAATTATGCTTGTTTCTTGCTTCCTGACTTTGACATCATACAAATATGATATTTGAAAGTGAAAAGTATGAAGAAGTATTAAATTAAATGAATTCAGTTAGCTTGCTATAAATTCTCATCAAAATAGTATTTTGCTTTGATAACACACGTGTATATCAGCTAAAAAGTATTTACTGTACAAAAATAAAATACAAACATATACATTATATTGAGTTTATTTCACCAGCCAAATAAATGTTTCAATTACTTGC